AGAAATTGAATAATTAGCCAGATGTGGTGGCCTGTGCCTGTAGTCCCAGCTACTCAGGAGGCTGAAGTGGAAGGATCACTTAAGCCCAAGAGTTCGAGGCCAGCCTGAGCAACATAGTGAGACTCCATCTCTAAAAAAATAAAAGAAAAAAAAAGAGAAATAAATGAATGAATGAATAAAGTAAAATGACAGCATGAAGGCACTTAGTGGCATGATAGTTACACAAATCTATACATGTGATTAAAAAACAAGGTCAATTTTATGGTATATTCATTTTAAAAATAAAAGTTAAAAACAAGGGGAAAAAATAAATGAACGACAATAGCAAGAATGATGCCAAAAAGTGTTAAAAAAAAAAAAAAGTGGTTACCTCTGGATAATGGGATTATAGGTAGTTTCTTTCCTTGATCATTTATATTTCACTGTACCTTCTAGGTTTTCTACAGAGGTTATATATTGCTTTGAGAATAAGACAAAAATAAAGTTAAAAGCTTGGAAAAAAAAAAAAAGATGGCAGCAGAAAATCTTGAGTCTGATAGGGACCTGCTGCCAGAAACAGCCCGGCTCCTGGAAGGCAGTGCAGACACTTGCTGGAGGCGAGTTATGGCAAAGAAAACATCCCATCTCAGACCTGCTGCCAAGGAAAACGGGTTGATGAGTCAGGGGGTGGGCAAGGGTAGAGCCACGTGGCCCCCCACAGGCCCTGCAGCACAGGGGAGAGGAAGGGCAGGGGTGCTCAGGATCCCCAGCACCTGCATGGGTGTCCACGGGCCTAGCAGAGACGAGCTGCTCCTCAGGAACACCCCTCTCTGGGATGCCCGCTTTGCTCCCCTGAACATCCCCACATAAATGATGTCTACTCAGGTGGTCCCACAGCAGCCTGTCCTTCCCCTGCTAATGCAGGCCTGGAGTTACTAGAGAGGGAAAAAAACAGTGACAAGCGGCGATGAGTATGGCCACATACACTCTGACTTCTCTCATACAGAACGCTGCAGAAAAACAAAAGGTGCCACGGGTGGCAGCAGCCAGTGTCCTGCTGACACACCCTTTGCAGAGAGCATCTCTGTCGCCTGCAGGGTGGGAAAACTGGGCCTGGGGCTACATGTGAGGCCCCACCGTGAGGACCAGAGGGAGGTCAGGCATGAAGCCTCGCTACAAAGGGGAAGCCAAGTGCTAGCAAGAGAGGCTGCTCCTGGCTTTGGGCCCAGGCTCTGTCACTGGCAGTGCTACAAACGCCCCTCTCAGAGCCCTCTGCTCACACTCAGCCTGTCCTGCCCAGGAGGCCCAGCCCAGCTCCTGGGGGACAGCGTGGCCTGTGGCAGGATGGAGATCACCCATATGAAGGGCCTAGCACTGTGGCTGCCTCAGGCTCATGTATTTAGTGACAACTTAGGCATCAGTTGGAGAGGCCACTGAAGTGTCTGTGGAGGGTTTCTAATGGGCTGTTGCTGGGAGACAAAGGGAAGGAAGACAATGGGGAGACAGGGGAGGCTGAGGTGCGAAGTGAGTGGCGGGAGTGCTGGCAAGAGGGTAAAGGAGCAGGGCCCATGGCATCTTCAGGTCGGTCATCACTCATGGTGATGGGTAACACAGAACAGGGAGGGGTGCCGTGTGCCTTTCCTACCAAGAGCCCAGCAGGGCGGCCTCACAAGTATCCCATCAGTTCCAGGCAGAGAAGCAAGTGACTTGCCTCTGGAACCCACAGGTGACAGAGAGCACCACCTTGGGGCAGCACAGATCAGGAGGAAGCTGAAGGCCCTTTCCCTTCCTGGCCTTTCTAAGCAGGATACAAGAAAGAAACTAACATTGACTGGGTACTTACTATGGGCATAGAAGCAACAATGCAGACCAGCCTGGGCAACAAAGTGAGATCCCATCTCTACAAAAAATTTAAAAATTAGCCAGGTGTGGTGGTGCGCACCTGTAGTCCCAACTACACAGGAGGCTGAGGCGGGAGGATCACCTGGGCCCAGGAGGTTGAGGCTGCAGTGTGCTGTGTTTGTGCCATTGCACTCCAGCCTGAGTGACAGGGTGAGACCCTATGTCAAAAAAGGAAAGAAAGAAAAGAAAGCAAACAACACTGCAAAGAAAGACCATGGTCTTCTCTGGGAATCAGTATCAGGAAGCATTTTAATTTTCTTCTCCATACTTTCCTGTATTATCCCCTGATAAAATGTACATGCATTACTTTTATAATTAGCATAGAGTCATAAAAAATAAATTCAGCTTTTTAGTTTGAACCCCACTATTTTGGTTTGTTGGGGTACTTCAAAATGTCAATGCATGGCCTGATATTTCAGCTGGTTAGCTTTTTCCCAAGACTAACCCTGCCAAATGTGAAAGTATGCCTTTTTATATTGTTAACAAAGTTGCTAATTAAAAACAAGTACATACCCTCTAGACAGACTCAGGCCAGATTCACAGTCACAATGTATTCAGGGGATGCTTCCCCTCAGGGTAGCTCCATCCTGTCTGATTCTCCCCATCACACTCAGGAAAAGAGCCACTCATTTTGTCAAATGTCTTTATAAAAGAAAGACATGCTAATTCATCAAGCTCAGCAATCCTGTACCAAGAAACAAACCGAGCAGCGCATTCAGCGATCTGGAGTAGAAGCTGTGGTCTGCTATGTTAGATGGATCCCAATTTGTTTCTGTGAGTTTCTAAAATGGTCTGTCTTCAAATCACTCCGTATTTGGCCTGGGACTGACACCTGGAACACTGTGATTTCTGGAATTCATCCTTTCTGCACTTAGGAAACCCGGGATGACACTGCTGGTCTCTGGCCTCTTGGCATTTGTCCTTTACTCCAGGTCCCTCAAACACTGCAAAAGTGGTTTCTTGATCACTGGGGGTTCTCAGAAGCACTCTGGCATGAGGTACAAAGCCAGGCAGCTACGAGCTCTCTGCTCTCAGTTCACCTGTCCTGAGCTCTGAACTCCCTAAAAAGCATGTATATTCCATCCCTTCGTAGGCTAAAGACCATGCTCCTAATGAAAGAGTGTGTAGAAAGAGAATTATTCCAGAGCTATTACCATCTAATGGGAACATTAATGGGCGGCACATCAGGAAGCTAACCACGTGCTTTTGCCCTGATCCCTCTCACTCTGCCAGCCCAGCAGAAATAAACTCACACACGTAGAACCATGAATGGCCAGGGGACTGGTGGCCTCTCCTGACTGTAACTGGAAGGACAGACACATGGCGGTGAAGACGCTGGAGGTTCCCAAGAAGAACTGAAAACAGCCAGCCAGTATCTGCCGTCATGGCTCGGACGGGGTGCAAGCAGGGTGATTTCGGCTCTAGGTTCAACATAACTTCCTGAAAGACCTGCTTCCAGCAGCAGCTCTGAGGCTGGCCAGGGAGTGTATTTTATAGCTAGGAAGAGAACTGCAGTGCTGCCTGGCTGGCCTCACGGTGGGCACTTCTTCGGGTACCTTTACCCTTGGGGATGCCCTCACCAAGGCCCTAGCAGACCTGAGGCAGACACCCCTAAGGCCCCATCACTGCACTTCATCAGGAGAGGCCCACAAGACTGGAGGGTTTTTGAAACTTAGTTTTGGGGGCTTGTTTTGGTCTCTTTTCTAGGAACTCAGAAGAAGAGCTATAGGAAACCTTTCCTTTGGATTCCCTTAAGAATTTAGCACTTGCAAGAAAGAAAGAGTTAGGAAAATCCATGGTAAAAGTACGTTTGTGAACAATTCCCAGGCTAGCCAAACCCACAGCTACTGTGGGGGAAGGGGAGGCGGCCAGGAGACCAGGGCTCAGGCTCTGACCCTGTTCTTCCTGGATCCTAAGGCTCTTGAGGCCTGAAGCAGCTCAGGACTCATGGAGCCGTGGGCGGTCTATGTCATTTCTCTGTGTGATGGTCTCATCTGTAAAATGGGGCTAATCGTACTCACTTTTGGCACTCTGGGTAAAATGAAAGATGACCCTTCAGGAAGACAATTTGTTACCGCCGTCAGGTGACACACAATTGTTGGCATGGGGATATTAAGAGGAGTAATAACATTTCCTCCTCACAGAATATGCCTGTATGGACTAACCGTCCTCAGGCACCATGACCTCGCGATTTCAGCCCTGCTCCGTGAAAAGCACTGACCTCTTGCTTTTCCTCCACAATCTCTTACTCACAACACTCTGTGCCTGCGCCTGCCATCCCCTGGCTCTCACGTGGCCTTGTTTGCCTTCCCAGGGGCAGCCCTGTCCCTCTTGGAAACCACCGATGGTCAATTTTCCACACTCCATGGGAGTAGGGAGGACACTGGCCCAGAAAACTCCTGAGCCACAGGCCTTCCAGCCCTTATCGCAAGCACGTTTGATAGCATTTACAGCATTTTACTTCCTTGATTCACTGTGGTCATTTCAGGCTGAAACTGCAACCAGGTGAAGTAGACAGAAGGCATTCTAGATGCTACGTGATCTGCAGCTCTAGTCTGGCCTCCCCATGCCTTCTCAGCTCCCGCGCAAGCACAGGCCCTCCTGTGTGCACCACCATGCCTGGCTAATTTTTTATTGTTTGTAGAGATGGGGTCTTGCTATGTTGCCCAGGCTGGTCTTGAACTCCTGGCCTTAAACAATCCTCCTGCCTCGACCTCCCAAAGTGCTGGGATTATAGGCATGAGCCCCCAGATGAGGCATCAGCCCTAATTTTATTTCCAGGCCCAGTCTGTTCTAGGTAACATCTCAGGGTGCTTCCAGCCTAATTTCTCCAATTCATGCTGACTGGGAGGAAGATGCTCAGAGTTAGGGGTGGTGGAGCCTCACTGAACTCTAGCTAAGTGACAAATGCAGCCCAATCAGGACTTCTGTGCTGTTTCTATGGCAATGGGGGGTAATGAGGGTGGGGACCTTGCCCGTCACCACTGCATCCCCCAGCTTAGCACGAGTCCTGGCATCCAACAAATAAGTGCTTCTTGGGTTCACGTTGCAAAGCGCCACGCTCATCCTACTCTGAGAGAGGGGAGGGTATGGAGGGGGAGGAGCAAAGTTCCACTCACATGGGGCGTGGAACATGACGAGGACAGAGGAGTGTTCCTTCACAAACTGGTCAAAGTCTTCATCGGTCAGGTGATAAACGGAGCCGCCCTCATCTGCCCAGGGTGTCTCAGGGACCTGGGGCTGTGGCGGCTGCGGACTGGAAGACCAAAAACAGGCAGAGCTCAGAGCAGGCCCTGGGGCCTGGGCAGCCCTTCTCATTCCAGCCCCCTGGACACGAAGCTCCCCACAGGCTCGGGATGGCCCACTCCAGGGGCTCAGCCTTTAACAAACCAGAAACTGCCCTCATGGAGGTGTCGTGGGGTGAGTGGTGCTGCCCTGCCCACCTCCACCTTCCCCACAAAGCCCCAGACAGGTACTTAGCTGATATCCTGTTATAAACAGTGGCTTCTGGCTACAGCTCTCTAGATAGCCTAAGAAATCTCACTTCCTCCTGGGAATCTGGGGGCTTGTTAGCTTTCTCAACCTATTTCAAACTTTGAGCAAGCTGGAAAGAATAAATAGCAACAGTGAATGGTGACCTTTGGAAAAGCTCACTGTTGTGTTTAAAACTGCCCCCTGGGCAGTGGAGGGGAGGAAGAGGATACAGAGAGGAGGGGGTGAGGAGGAGAGAGAGAGGCCAGGTATCTGAGAAAGTTCAGATTTAGGCCATGCAAGGGGAAGCTGCCACACAGGGGTGCAGGGAAGGTCGCAGTGAGGGAAGCAAGGCTGGGGGTATCCTAACTATGAGAGTGTGGACGCTACATCACTAATCCTTCCCAGAGGCCAAACCAACTTACTTAGTTCTCCCAGAAGCCAAATCAACTCTACTACTCATCAGCTGCAAAACCTTAGGCAGCCGCCTGACCTCCCTGGAGCCCGTTTCCGCAGCGTGACTGTGTGCCAGTCCTATGTCATCATCTGCTAGGAGGAGGGAGGCTTGCAGGGACCCTCCGTTGCTCCAAAGTTCAGGACAAGGCGGCTGGTGGTGACACAGTCTCTCTGCTGCTTTATTGCCACGACTACCCTTGCCAGAGCACCTTAATTGCAGCTTTGAAAAAACCCTCGAGGATGACAAATGTGAAAAGACAACCATTGTGTCCCGCCTTTGAGAGCCTACAGGAGGAAACATTTTAAAGTTCCAGCAGCCAGGGCTGGATAATCCAGAGGGAGCGAAGTGGCTGACACAATGGAAATCTGCCACTCGCTTCCCTCCGCAGAAGCCCGGGTATGATATCGCCTTCAGAAGCCCTCTCTGGCCCTTCTGACTGGGCCCCACTGGCTGCCACGGCCTCCCGGGTCCCAAGAAATGGAAGGAGGCAGGGAGAGGGCAAATCAGTCTCAGCCCATGCATATCCAATGTCAGATAGGACTGGTGACAAAATCAAGCTTCAGAATGAGTCACCAGCCAGACAATGGTCCTAGACAAACATCATGCAATCTAGGTTCCCATACTTGGGCTCAAACTACTGACCCCTCAAAACACTACCAATTCCACTTCTTATCTTTACAATACACCTGCACACGTGCACAATTATGTGCATCTGAAGGCATTCACTGCAGGTTATTTGTCATAGCGGAGACTGGAAGGACGGCTTAGGTAAACTGCTGTCCATCTACACGAGGGAGGGCTGAGCACTACAAAGAATGATGTTCTGTACGCACTGATGTGGACAAACTGCTGGAGATGGATGGAACAGTCTAGAATTTGCTAACTTTTGCATTAAAAGGGGGGAGATAAAATATACTTATTCACATTTGCTAATATCTACATAAAGCAACACTCTAAGAACATGAAAGAAACTGGTCTAAGTTGTAAACTCTAGGGTATGGGGGGGAGGATAAGAAGGAGGAAAGAAGTGAAAGGGAGACTTTTGAATGTATTCTTTTTAAGCATCTTAAAATTTTGCCAGCCTGCGCAACAGAGTGAGACTCCATCTCCACAAAAATATGAAATAAAAAAATTAGCCGGGCATGGTGGCCTATGCCTGTAGTCCCAGCTACTCAGGAGGCTGAGGCGGGAGGATCGCTTGAGTCCAGGAGTTCAAAGCTGCAGTGAGCTATGATGGCACCCTCTGCACTCCGGCCTGCGTGACAGAGCAATACCTTATCTCAAAAAAAAAAAAAAAAAAAATTGAATTATGTGAATGTAATCGACTCAAAAACTAAATTTTTAAAAAGTCCAGCAAGTGCACAAATATAGGATGGAGAAGCCATGGCTTTGCAGGAGTACAGGCACCGTAAGGAAATAACCGGAGGAACTTCTAGTTAACCACAGAGGCGAATACACTCTAAAACTGCTAAAATAACAGTTCAGGAGTTTAAAACAAAAAACAAAAAACTTTCTGGGCAGAAAAAGCAGAGTAGGGGCCCAAGAACAACACCCACATAGAAGACAAGGCTCTGAAGGGCCCGGAGGCCCACTCCTTGAAGCAGAGCTACAGCCTACAGCTGAGAACAGGAGGTTTAGCGGTCACAGGAGTGGTCAGATCCTCAGATCCTAGGGTGCCCCCCTCTCCCACCCAGGAGGCAACTGGAAGTTTCTTTTCGGGAGAGGACTGGAGAACTGGGCACCGTGGTAAGAGGATGTACTGGGAAGAGACGAACTGAGTGGGAGTCTGAACCCAAAACGCTAAATGATGCTTTTCACTCCCTGCCTACCCCAGGCCGTGAGCTCCTCGAAGACTGGGCTCTCCCTCACCTCTTTACTAACTCCTGCACCCAATACACAGCAGACACTCAATACATGCTTGTTGAATAGGAGATTCCTTGAATGAGGGAATGCTCATTTCTCTCATTCGGGGAAAAACGGCTTAAGGAACCGGAAGTGTTTAATTTCGAGAGAGGACATAAAAGAACACAGTGGCTATCGTCAAATATTCCAAATTGCATTAAGAAAAGAAATTCAGATTTGTTTTCTAGGGCCCTGAAGAGGAGAATCAACACTAATGAGTGGAAGCTCCAGAGAAAGAAACTTCGGTTTGGTGTAAATAAGAGTGTTCTGTCTACAGCAGGGGAGAGGGAAAGAAGGCCAAACTGGGAGTCAGAAGACCTGGCTTGAGTCCTGTTTCCTCCACTAGCCACAATCAAACAGCTTAAAACAGTGACAAGACAGTGCATTGTGGTCCTTTCTTTACCTAGCTCTCAGGCTCAGCTAAGCTGAGAATGGATGTGAGATGCTTTGTAACTTTATAAAGTACTACCTCAATGCTCCTAGATATAATTTATCACCTAAATAATAAGAGTCATTCAAGCATGAATGGGGAACCTCAGAATGAGTCCAGTGGGAGTGAGGAAATGCAAACTTTGAAAGGAGAATTGCTGGGGCAGATTTGATGACTTGTATGTTCCCTTACGATCTCCCTTCATGTGACTGATTTTATGAGCTCCGCAGTTTGGAGACAGCAATTGTCCCAGGCTCTCTAGGACTGGGAGGGTCACACAGTCAGACCCTCATCTAAGCGAGATGCACGTGCCGTAGATGAGAAGACGCAACTCTACACATTATGAGTCCAGAAAACTTGGTGTTTGTTAATTCAGTTCACTTCTGGTTGGTATAAAGCTACACAGGCCAAAATGGCCCTGCCTAAAATGGATCACTGCTTATGCACCCCTCCCCCTGTCTGCTAGCCCAACTCAGCATGTGACAGCTTCAAGGGGCCAATGAGATATGTGGCCATTAGGAACACAAAAGACACCAGCGCCACGATCAACGTATCTACTCCAGAGCCCTCATACACTCAGATGCCAGGGCTGACTCCCTGCCCTGCCTCACCTGATGCCACCCTTCCCTGGTGCAACCACCAGTGTCACACATTGAAGGGCGGGACCTGGGTCTTCTCTCCTAGGCATTGGAGAGCCATCTGGAGAATTAGCTAGGCTGGCTTCACCCTCATCTTTGTATACTTGGCTGCACAGAAGCCCTGAGCAGCTAAGGGCCAATGGAGAAAGCAGGAAAGATGAGGTCACTATTGCCCACCAGAATCCGAGGGGAAACTGGAAAAGGCTTAATCCACGTGGGACCGGGAAAACCCACATGCGGAGCTGGATCTGTGCAGGGGAAATAACAATATGCTATCTTTGGGTAATAGGGTGGGGGAGGACTTTTTGTTTAACCACACTTTTAGGTTTTTCTATAATAAGCCTATCTTAGTTGAGTATCTCTAAAATCAGAAAAGATTTTTAAAAATTAAGCCAGCTGGTAGCAGAATGACATTGCTAGCTCTTGCAGAGGATAAGGCCGTTAACAAGAGCTCCTTCTCTCCCACGGTGGGGGATGGGGGGAAGTAGGAAGTGGGGATGGGGTGCCCAGGACCAGAATCTGAAGGCAGCTGTGGGGTGCAGGCCAGCCAGAGCAATGTGGGTGGGGGAGCCGGGATGGGGTACACCGAGAGGAGAGGAGTGAGAGGGCGGGGTGGGAGGCTCCAACGGGGAGATAACAACCTAGTTCAGAAATGCCATTGATGTGCTCCCTTTGTCTAGGGTTAGCAGGCAATTCTGAACACTTAAAAAAAACACATAAACCTTATCCTTCCAAAAAAGATATGAGGGTGTTTTGAAATCAGAAAAGGTTAGAGAAGGGAAGGGAAGCAGACAGATTTTATGCTCTGGTGACAAATGAGATTGCTATTTGTTGAGACCTTCTCCCAAAGCAGAATGAGATGTGTCTGGCTGGAGGAGAGGACACGCTTATTATCAAATGAAAAAGGAAAACAGGAAAGCAAAGGCTCAGGTTAAGACAATGAACACATGATAATGGGCAGCAGCCTTCCCAGGCGGGGGCTGGAAATGAGGTGGCCGATGGGGACAGAGATGTGAGAACGCTTCCAAGAAATAAAAGACATGATGCAAACATGTGCTAGCACTTGTGTCTTATCTCCCGGGAGTAGGCAGAACAGAAGATGGAGATTCTCCACCTTTAGAAATCTAACAGTTAGTTTCATGTGCATTTTTTTTTCCTGGTACAAAACCCACCCTTCTTTCCCATTTTGAAAATACACATTTTCAACCTCCATATCTTTGGATAACTAATTCTTTAACCCTGGGGTTTGCACACTATGTCCCTAAGGTAACGATGTCAATAAATATCCACTGTGCTGGCAGCTGAGGGGAGGGGGTCTGAGCAGAACTTGAGGAGGCTGAGTTGGACTGTAGGGGCTGCAGGGATCCATCAGGGCCCTGCCACTGCTTACCGGCAGCACCACCCCCTCACTGTGCCTCAGGAACCTCATTCATAAAATGAAGAGAATGGTAACATCTTCCTTACAGTGCTGTTGTGAGGATTAAAATGATAATCCATGTAAAGAGCTTAGAACAGTGTCAGCCACAAAGGAGAGCCCAAAAGACATTGGCTGTTATTATTCCAACACATATGCACAAATACCCATGAAGCAGCAGTGGCTGGTAAGCGCCAAACTCGTGACACACAGAGCGCAGCCTGAGCCGGGTGCGTGCTCAGCGAGGGTGGCCTGGGGAGGCTTCCAGAAGGGGACATCGTGAGCCTGTTGTGGAAGTGCTGGTGAGAAGTGGGAATGGGGTGATTTGGCAGGACAAAGCAGCAGGCCTAGCACAGTGGGGGCTCCAGGTAAGGAGGCAGGGGCCAACAGTGTGGTGGGGTTTGGCATTACAAGGATCTAACCACGTTATAAAACAGGGATCACAGGTTGCTATGAAGCAATGCCTGTGGGGGTTGAACAGTAAAGCACTCAGCAAGCCTAAGGCATTAGAATATTTCTTAGTACCTTCACAGCACCTAAGACAGTGCTGTGTTTGAAATAAGTGTTCAACTGACAATTCTATTTTCAGAGAGACCTGCAGTGGAACCTCTCTCAAACCTGGTAGCCTAGGTGAGAAATACCTCTATCCACCAGATAGACGTGTTGAGGAGAAACTTGATGTGAAATGTGGGAAGATTTCAGAAAGGCCCTGACTATTCCAGAAGAGCTGATAGGCTTAGACAGCCCCTCCCCAGTTCCAACCCGTGGAGAAGGGAGGTAGGGGAGACAGACTCCACACCCAACACCGAGGCAGGTCTGATCATCACAGGCCAAAATCACACCAAATCCTCATGGCTCCTGCAACCTAAATTCCCACAATCCCCATAGTGACCTAGACTCAAGCCAGAGACAGCTATGCAGGCAGTACCACAATTCCCTTCCTTATTCTCTCCCCCAATCCCCAGCCAGAGCCCTGCGACCCTCAGGCCCAGCAGGTGCCCCACCCTCTGGGTCCACGCCCCCTGACACACACACACACCCCACTTACTTCTTCAGCCACTCCAGGATGTCCTCGGCCGTGGACCCATAGTTGTCATACTGGAACAAGAACCGTCCTTTCCTGTGAAACGTGGAGAAACAACGTGGGCTCAGTCAGGGATGCAAATGCCACCCTGAGATTATGGTCAATCACCAGGAAGGGAGGTGAGCTTTAGAAGGAAAGTGGGGGACGTACTCAAAATAGCAGATGGTGGGGAAGCCGCGCACGCTGTACTCCTCCTTGATGTTTTCAAATTCAGAGGAGTAGACATTCATCCCGGCCAGCACCTGGGAGGAAGCGGAGAACAGCCGTGTGGAACCTGTGCCCTACAGACACCCTCTAGTCCACACGCCATCTGTCCAGCTGCTGTCCCACCAGAAAGACATGTGGGACAAAGCCCCACAGACTGATGTGCATCAGGGCTGCGGAGAAACAAGGCCAGCGAAGCCAGCCAGGAATCATGACCTGGCGCTGGAGAAGCCAGGCAGCTGGGCCGAGTGCTACACTCTGCATGCCTGCTCCCTCTGCCTCCCTGCAGGAAGAACCACCCCAGAGCAAAACAAATGTTCTGAGGGTTGCAGAAGAAGCCTGGCCTTGCCATCAACTTCACACTGCTCTCAGAGAGGGACCACAGTCAAGGATGTGTTAACGCCTATTTCTCTGCTCATGTCAACTAGGGTTGTACTCTTTCCTAAGCAATGGAAATAAGTGGCTTTCATACACCAGTTCAGCTCTGCACAACGTCCTTAGACACTTTCCTCGATACCTCACGGTTTGCCCACCTAGGCTTGAGTGTGACGTTTTCAAAACTCACAGCTTATCTGTGGCCAGGGAGGCTGTGTGGTTCTCATAACACAACATGAGAAACGAGGCACCTGCCTAACTCTCCTCCCTCTAGGCCGAGCTGTGTCTCCCCAATGTTTCCTCCTGTTGGTGACCATTACCCACAGCCTGGCTGGATCATCATCTCAGAATTCTGAACATATTCTGGCTCCAGGGGTCCACATGTCCACTATCCCTGAATCAGAAAGAGTATTTTAGTAGCTGGGTAACTGATGATGTAGCTAAATACTAAGACTGACTCAAATAAAGAATCCCCTAAAACTCCCTCTGCAGTGGCATGATCATAGTTCACTGTACCCTGTAACTCCTGGGCTCAAGCAATCCTCCCCCGTCAGCCTCCTGAGTAGCTGGGACCACAGGCGTGTGCCACTATATCCGGCTAATAATTTTTTTCTTTTTGGTAGAGATGAGGTCTTGCTGTGTTGCCCAGGCTGGCTTCCAACTCCTGGGCTCAAGCGATCCTCCCTCTTCAACCTCCCAAAGCACCGGCATTACAGGCATGAGCCAGCATGCCCAGGCAGGACTTTGAATCTGTTCTCTCCAGAGAACGTAGCTAGAATGGCCAGACACACAAAGGATGTTCCACAAAGCAGAGTGGCATAGAAGCGAGGGAAAAGTAAGTTAAAAAAAAGCCAGCAGCAGTTACAGAAGCAGAGAGAAGAAACCCAGGAAGCTGGACTTCACTGAATAATATACAAGGACACACACAGAGAGAAAAATAAATAGTAGTTTCAGTGGACAATAAACTTGATTGCAAAGACAGTTTCCACCTATGAGTCATGTGACCTTGGGCAAGTCACTCACCCTCACTGAGGCCCCTTGCTGGAAGATGTGAACATCACAGGGCTCTTTAGAGAACTAAATGAGATGAGAGGTTTTAGCACAAAACTGAAGCTGAGTAAGTGTCATCTTCCTACCAAGTCTTCCTGGTGATGGGAGCCACTGTGCCTCTGGCCTCTCCATTCCTAGGGGCACCTGGATATCTTTCCAATTGTTTTAAGTCCCTAGCACAAGGCCTCACATACAGCAAGGACACAATAAATGCTCACTAAATCACTGATTTTCTTTTTTTTGCTAACCCATTTTAGGATGCAGCAAATAATACAGGGAGAATAAATTTGAATTCAAATTTACTTGAAGTCCTGGAACGTTCTATAAAAGTCATTCTGCTCATTTCCCAGACTGCTCCAGTGGCCTGTTCCAGTAATATTTGTCTACTTTAAAAGTCCTTTTTTTTTCTGCCTAATTGATCTCCCCAGTGTCAGTGTACATTCACCACAGATTAATCTTACATGTCCTCCTCGCTCATTACATCACTTCCCTGCACAAAACCTTCCAATTTCATTGAATATAGGCGAAAATCCAGCTCCATATTCAATGCCCATATGTTACCTATTTCATTTTTGAATCTTTCTTTCTTACAAAACTCTTCATTGTACACCTGTTAGGGTCTAGATTTTTTATTCTCCCAGGAACAAGACAGTCGGAGATTTCTGCACAGGAAGGAAGTTGGGCCGTCTGCCTTCTCAGACATCTTGCTGAGTGCAGCAGCAACATGGTGCAGTGGCTGGAAGCATGGGCTCGGGACGCCTGGGTTTGAGACCCGATTCCCCATGTGGTCGTGCATTTCCTTCACCGAGTCACAGTTGTCTCTGTGTCTCACTTTCCTCATCTGTAGCCGCCTCATGTGGTTGTTGAGAAGATTCAATGAGATAATACAAGGGAAGTATCAATAACACTCAAAATGTATTAGCTATTTTTGTTACTAGGACTAGGAGGTGCTCTATTTCTGCCCACATTTCTGGAACACTCGCTGTTCTCTCCTGGTCCCCACTTGGTGCCTTCCAGTCCCCTTGCTGAGGCTGCTCATCCCTCACCTCCTGGAGACCCCCAGACTCACCCATCCCTTAAGGCAAATCAAACCTCACCTCTCTAGGCAGCCTTTTCAAACCACCTTTGCTTGGGGTGAGCTCTTAATTCTCCAAGTTTCTGTAGCACTTTTGTGCCACTTTGGGGGCATCTATTAGTTAACGAGACAAAGGTTTTTGAACAACTACACACAAACGCTCTCTGGAGTTAGAATCTGTGAAGTCAAACGAGGCGAAACACCTGGTCTCGGCCTATGGAGAAGATAAGAACACAGCCTCCCCCCTCCCCACCGCCATCTGCATGCTTGGGGCCACTCAGCTGGCGTGACATGCTCTTCTGTGTGTTCAGCTCTGCTGCCAGGAATCATCACGGCAGCTTCTCAGCGTAGGCTGTATATGAGCTTGCACTCAGAGGAGAGTAAGATTTCAACAGACGTCCTGGGATGGGGAACCGGAGGCAAGGCAAAGAAAGATGTGGCCCAAGAAATGGAGCACATTTCCTTCTAACTGGAAGGCAGGATACACAGAAAGGAGAAGACATGAGAGAAAAGGCTGAATGAGTTGGCCAGGATCACTTTGGGAAAGGCTTGAAATGCCTGAGAAATCAGGACTGTATTCAGGAAGTGATGGAGACCTCCCGAGGGTTTCTAAGTAAGAAAGCAATCCGCAACCCAGTTGCATCTCTCGAAGCAGAAAGGATGAGCTATGAGGGAATGCTGTGGTCGGGAGACAAGTCAGCAGCCTTTGGCAACCAGTTAGCATGGCCCACTAGAGCGTGGAGAGGACTGGTGGGCAGGGAGAGGATGAAGGGCGCATGAGGAAGACGCCTGATGATGCCTCAGTAAAGAGATGTTGGGGTGGGGGGCGGGGAAAGAGCCTGGCCCCTGGGGAAAGGTCTTAATGCAAAGTTCACAGTCTGCCAGATGGAAAGATACTGAATTTTCAGACATGCATTTGAGACACAAGTGAAAAAATCCAGACGGAGATGTGAAGCAAGTCATCTGACATGTGACACTGGCACTTAGGGGAAGGACTCGGGCTCCACAGAGTTATGTTTTGTTGAAGCTATGGACAGAGATGCGGTCATTGGAGGGCAAACTGTAATAAGACAAACCCTTGCTCCAATGTGTTAACAGGAAAGCGGAACCTTGGGAGCACCCCCATCTAGCCGGTGGGAGGAACATGGTGCAGGGCAGCTGTAGGGAAGAGAGGGGATCAGTCATCTTTGTCTGTGAGTGCTCTGTGGGGTACAGGGCTTCTTCTGCACAGCCCATTTGTTCCTCACCACAACCCAGTGAGGTGGGCAGGGTTGGCATTATCATCTCCATTTTACAGATGGAAAAATGGAGGCTCTAAGGCTAAGGAACTTGGACCAAGATCTCCCAGCTGGTTAGCAAGAACCAGCACTAGAGCCTGGTCTGTACAAATCTGTTGTCATGACAGTTCTATTTCATGGTGTTTATACCCAGACATGGCCGAGGTCCACCAAAGACTGGCAAAGCTCAAAGGCTCAGTGCAGATGTCAATAACTGGCAAGGCTGGGAAGAGGCAGATGGAGACAGGGCTCATTCTAACGGTTGCTCTGAGATAGGGGGCAGCGTGGCTGCTAATGAGGATGTCAATTAGCAGGAGTAGATGGGACAGACACGATGAGTCACCAGACGTCAATGACAGCAAAAAAGAGGCAGCCCTAAGTTTGGAAATGGCAAAGGCTGTGCATCCCTGACCCGGCATGCCTTCCTTCCTAATGATATCATCAGGTTGAACACCTCCCAAGAAATCTGTAGAGGAGGAAGATTTTTGACCCTTGCCAGAGACAAAGCCAGCCAAAAAGGCTCAAAGATGACAGAGATGAAGAGGAGACAGAAGGACCTAATCCAGCTGTGTTTCAGCAGCGAGGAGGAGGTGAGCTTTGATTTCTGGGGAACAGCAGCCCATTTATCAGTCCCACCTCTTCTCTGTGTGTGAAGACAAAAAGCAATTGACACCTGTGGTCACTCAACCCCTCTAGCCCGGTCCCCAGTTTCTGGTGAGCAGAGTAAGCCCTAGCCTCTATGGGCCTCCTACATGGGTGATGCCTGCAGTGGCCAGGGCCCTTCCCCCTTTATAGCTGGGAAAGGGCTAGAACTTTCCAGAAGATGCTTTTCTAGGAAATGAAAGGGAAAATAAAACAAAACAAACCCAAGCAAGAAAATACACAAAGAAATGAGTTTACACAACCCAGATGTCTTAGGCCAAGGCAGCCAACACCTGGTCACAACTTGACTTGCCCAGCTTTGTAGACAACGCCCCCGACTTTTCTGTAATGTTGAGGGAATTGGAATGGGTAACTTTTATATTTCTAGACCTGGGCCAGGCAGGAGAAGCTGAAATTCATTTTTTCTTTTTTTTAGAGACAGGATCTCACTCTGTTGTGCAGAGCATGGCACAATCATAGCTCACTGCAGCCTTAAACTCCTGGGCTCAAGTGATCCTCCTACCTCAGCCTCCCAAGTAGCTAGCATTGACTACAGGTGTATGCCATTGCACCCAGCTAATTTTTAAAATTTTTTGTAGACATGGGGTCTCACTGTGCTGCCCGGGCTGGTATTGCCTCAAGTGATCCTCCTGCCTTGGCCTCCCAAAGCACTGGGATTACAGGCGTGAGCCACCATGCCGTGCCGGAACCTGGTATTCTGAACACAAGTGGTCTTTGCAGTTAACCTTATAACCTGTCCCACAAATGTCCTTCTCACTATGCTTCTGGCCTTAATAACAAATGCTCTGAATTCCTTTAAAAGAGAGAACCATCACTCTTAATATAGAGCTTAAAATAAAACATACCCATCAGGAGTGATGAGCCACAAGCCTATTCATTCATTGGCAAATACTGGGTATCTAATGTGAGCTTGGCCCTGTGCTATGTGCTAAAGAAAACAGACATGAACACGACTCCCGTGCCCAAGAAACTCACATATCATAATTAGCTTCAAGTGCTGAACAAAGTGATCTGGAACAAAAGCAAAGATGAACGTATCTGGCTGTGCGTGACAGGACAAGCTCTGTGGCAGTGTGGGAGGGGGCCTGGAAGAATACTGAGTTTGGCAGTGAATGCAGCATTGGCTGAGAATGGCCCACGAGATGCACCAAGACTGGCACCAAGTCCTCTTCTGCTTCAGTGGGTCTGGCCAGGATAACTTGTGATCTGATTTGGGGCTGAGCTATTTACCTTCCACAGCACAGAATTCGGGAAGTTGAGCTGAGCAGATTTCTAAGTGTATGCGGGTGCAGGCAGAGAAAATACTGTGGGTAATTAATTCTTTTCTCCAGGCTAAATAATCTCAAAATATGGTATCTATTGAGGTCCCAATAATGTGAAGCGAAACTTCCCTGGAGTGATGTATGTGTGCCCCAAGACCAAATGTCTCCAGGCAAGTTACTAAAAATTCATTAGTGAGAAGCAAGCAGGACCTCAGTGTCACCCCAGAATGAGGTCAAAAGAGAAAGCATTGGCTTTCTGCAGCCCCATCTTGCAGCTGGCGAGCAGGGCCATCGCCATGCCCAGGTGCTGCCGCTTAAACTTTTTAAGTTGACTTTGAGCTAATCACCACTTAATTTGATCCACAAAGATCATGATGTAGTTTCAGGACCTCAGGTCTCCCTTAATGGGGCTTTGGCCACACCACTGAGATGGCTCCTCTCGATCATCTTTCATGAAAGATGTATGGATTTTTCCACACTCCCTAGAGGAGCCAGCAGCTGTTTTTATGTTGCCATCAAAACAAGATACTTCTGCTACTTGGGGTAAGTGCAAAAATGGACAAACAGAAATCGAGAAGAATTAGAAGCAGGATCCCAGAGAGGTATTTGCACACCCATGTTCATTGCAGCATTATTCACAGCATCCAAGAAAGCTGGAAGCAACTCATCAACAGATGAGTATGTGAAGAAAATATGGTACGTACATACAGTGGAATATAATTCAGCCCTAAAAAAAGAAGGAAATCCTATGACATGCTACATGGATGAACCTTGAGGATATAATGCAAAATAAGCCAGTCACAGAAGGACAAATACTACAGATTCCACTCATAGGAGTAACTTAAAATAGTCAAAATCATAGAAATAGGCCTGGCCAGATGGCACACCCCTGAAGTCCCAGCTACTCAGGAGGCTAAGATGGGAGGATCGCTTGAGCCCAGGAGTTCAAGTCCAACCTGGGCAACATAGTGAGACCCTGTCTCTAAAACAGACAGACTATATAGACATATATAATCATAGAAACAGAAAGTAGAAAGGCAGTTTATCAAGGGCAGGGGTGGGATGAGAAGGCAGAATTCATATTTAGTGGGTATAGAATTTCAGGTTTGCAAAACGAAAAAGTTCTAGAGAAAGGTTGCACAACAGTGTAAATATACTCAACACTACTGAACTGTACATTTAGAAATGGCTAAGATAGTCAATGTAATGTTACATGTTTTTTACTACAATGAAAAAATAAGACACAAGGCAGAGAACAAAAAAGCCTGGCAGGGTGGGGGAACACAGAGGTACCAGGGAGCATTTGGTGACTGACCCTTGGCCCTTCTGGATGAGGTCTGTCCCCCCTCCCAGCTCTCTTCTCCCCTGCAACACTCCATGTTCCCCTTTTACCTCTCTGCCCCATCCCAGCTGCTCCTACTTCTCTGAAGTCCCATTTCCTTAGTGGCTTCTCTTTCTCCTCCTGTGGAGGTAGGCATCCTTAGGACACATGTCTCCATTCTGCCTACTCCTTCCTGGGAGAATGCCTGCATTCCCAGGTGTCTCACTCCCCATCCAGACCCACCTCCTCCTCTGGTTTCCACCATTCTTCTCACCCCACAGGAACCACAGAGCCTGGGAAGCCTGGACAGGCCATCAACTCTGTGAGCCCCCTTTATGCTTCTGGTCCACCCCTAAGGTCATCGCACCCTCTTCTTTGCCATTGGGCTCCCCAACAGCTGCCTCAGCTCACTTCAGAGCCCAGCCCTCAAAATTCCGGACTTATGATGTTCTGACCTTGGTCCCTGGTCCCCTGACAATGCCACATGTGCATCTTACTGGTGTCCTATTTCATCACTGGCCTTTGGCAGGTGTCAAACTCTCCTGGTCCTAGCAACTTGGTGGAGTTCTCAACCTTCACAGAGAACAGGTCTCTGAGCTCCAAGCAAAGCTTCGATTCAGCAACGGCCCAGGCAGCTGGGTCAGCCATCCTCACCATTTCAAAACCTGTCCCCACCCCACCCCCGGCACACTTCCTCTGCCAAGTCCAAGAGTGACCCAGCCCTGCCAGGCAATGGTGCCTCACTTACGGCGTGGCCTCGCAGCTGAGTTGCAGCCTTCTGGAAATGCGGCATCATCCTCTTGCACATGCTGCACCCTGGTCACAGGCAGGAGAGAGACCACATCCGGTTACAGGGATGGCTGAGCCCTTCCACTCTGCCCTGCCTCCCCATGGCCATCCTCTACCCAACAAGAGCTTATCCAGCCTTGAGAAGCTCAGGACTATTCCAGACCCTGGGAACACAAAAGGAACAGGAGGTGGGAGTCCCGGTCCCCAAAGAGCTTACAGTATCAGTAGTGCAAAACAAGGCACTGCCCAGCAACCACTCATAAATGTTGGACTGAAGAAACAAACATGACACGATGGGAGAAGAGCAGAGCCTAGAATGCTTCAGTGCTGACAATAAATTCAACAGAAATTCAGAAAACCAGAACAGGTGTCAAGAGAGCAACTGCTGCGTGCGCAGCGAAAAGCCACCCCCACTGCCCAGGCAGGGCTGCAAATGAGCCAGAGTCAAACGCCATCATGAAGAAAAACGTGTGACCACGAATACAATCACTTTTGGAATGTCCATGCCTCCTTTCTCTTTCATTAACAAGGATAATTAAGCAATGACCGGAGGCAGGCTGACCGTGAACAGTGCTGGCTGTGGCCCGTGGGAAGAGTGACGGGCCAGGAATCGGGATGCCACGCGGACGCTGATCTTCGCTCAACTTGCTGAAGGCCTTGGAGAAGTCACTCCCTCTCCCTGGGTTGTTTCTTCTGGCAGATGAGGGGGGCTGGACCACACAACCTCAGGCCCCTTCCAGCTCTGATAGCAAAGGGTTCTGTCTGCGATGGCCTTGGCTCAGCCCTCTGGGGCTCTGTGATCTACCATGGTCACACTCCTCTCCTAGTGGTGAAGACCCGCAGCCTTGATAGGGGGCCTTGAACTCCTGAGCTCAAGCGACCAGGAAGGCCAGGTCCCAAACATCCACTAAAGCATCAGAGTGACTTTAAACTCCTTCCCTTAAACCAGAGCAGACCATGTTTCAGCACTGATCCCACAGGACATGAGCAGTTTCTTCAGACAGCAGGGATTCTGAAGTGCCAGGCTATTACCCTTTCTGACCACCTCTCTGCTACAACACAAGGCTTCAGATGCATCTGAAGACCACAGAACCAAAGCTGCCTGGAACCATGTGTCAGGCTGATCTCAGCTTGGCACAGCGGGCACAGGGTCCATGTGGCGACAGGCAGCCTAGCTCCAATCCATGCTTAGCTGACGCCTAGACAGGCTGTGAAACCAGAAGGCCAACATTCCTTCTGGGTCACCAGAACCTCCCCAGCACCAAGCCTATTGGACAAGATGCAGACACAGGACATTTGGCCATGAGGCTCCAAAAATGCCCCACAGCCCCCTCCTGACATTCCTGACAGGTGGACTCACACACACCCCAGTACGTGAACCCTGGGCTTAAGTTCTGCCATCAGTCCTGGCAGGAGAGAAGGGGCTGTTTTGAGGCCAGCCTGCAGTGGGAGCCTGCCGAATCTGCCCTCAGAAGATAAGAGGCACCACTCCTCGGGACCTGCCACCTCAGTGCGAACACCACCAGCAGCATGAAGGAAGGAATATGACACTTGTCAGGGGCATTGTTCCCACTGTGGGGATTCAGAGAGAGGAGAACAGAAGCAGGAACAATGCTCTGGGAGAAATGCACCGGGTAGAAAACAGGAGGCTGCAGGTGGTGCAGAGGAAGGAGCTCAGCTCTGGGAAGAACGAGGCCGAGACCGAGGTCTGCATCTCCCCACAACTCCTGCTGGCTGGGTGATCCTGGGCAAGTGGCTTGGCTTGGCTTCCCTATCTGTGCAGTGGGGATAGGTGCCCCGCAGGTGTTAGATAGAGCTGGGGAACATTCAGTGCCTGCAGAGACATCTTAGTTCAACGCCAGGCCTGAGAACGTGCTTCCCGGTCCGTGGTTGGGGAAACACTTCCAGTGAGGGAAGAGGATGTCGCTCCACTCCCCAGGAAGGAAAATAAGGAGGGGACACCTGCAGCCTTTCACTCATTCTTCGCTCAGTGACTTGAGTCTGACGCCCACTGGGCCACACTCATCTATCAAGAACTTTATTTACTATCTGTCTCCACAGTGGGGCCTCTCTCTTCCTGTGCTGCCTGTTTGCAGCCTGCAGCAACACCACCCTGAAACGGGGATAAGTCGGCCAGCTGTCCCAGTGGGCAGGGCCAGCGGTGCTGGGTGGAGGTTATTGGTGGGGGAAAGGTGATGGAGGAGGAGTAGGAAACCACAGGCCAAGCCAGTTTCCAATTTAACTTTACCAAAAATAGAGCTGGCCCTGTGATTCCTGAGTTTATCTTCTAGCTGATTCCACTGGGAGGCAGGGGGAGAGGTAAGACTAACTATCACACTCAAACCCCAAAAGTCAGAGTAGTCAGCCTTTCTATATCATTAATTCAGAAAGCAAACCTGGGGAGCCAGGTTCCTTGTCACCACCGAAGGTTCCCACTGCCTTTGGGCCCATTCACCCCACGTGTGACCAAAGGGTCACAGAGTCCTAACAGACGTCCCAGTTAGGGAACTGCTGTGTATCCCAGGAATCAGCTGAATGTTGATGCCATGAAGACTTGATTAGACTAGTGTGCTAAAAGCACAAGCTTGTTTCATTTTGTGAAAAAACATACACATGTGCATAATCAAAAAAAGAGTCCTGAGGTTCCTTGGGACCTAGGAGTCCAACCAATCTGACCCTCTACCAAAAGTTTAACCTAACCTCCGAGTTTTCGCCTCCCTCCCCGACCACCAATAAGCTTTGTGACTCTGTGAGGTACCTAACTTCCCCTGCCCCAGCTTTCTCTTCTGTAAAGATGATAACTGCTCGCATCTCTGTTGTGAAGGGTGAGATGAGCACACTGCCACACAGCCTGGGTGCGTGGCGGGAGAGGGCACAGCATGCAGGTGCAAACTGCCAGTGCACCACTTCTAAATGACTAATGGCATCACACTGAGACCTGCCTGGTTACACCTGGATGCTGTCTTGTGGCACGTGCTGCATGTTGACATACACTCCGTTTTACAGCTTCATTTAACCAATGTGTTGAGTTCCGAAGGACTTTAAGATACACCAAAGGAGGCCCATCCTCTAGGAGCTGTGTGGACAAGGATAATTCCTAAAGCAATTCACAGCTGGGTAGCTAATAATATTCCTCCAAGAAGAAACAAAAAGGGGTGAAACCAACTAATGAACATCAATAAAGAGGGTTAAAGTAGCTACCATTCAGGGCAGAGCTGGATCTACAGCAGGTAAGACACCAGGGCCTTCTCCACAGCCCTGGGGCCAGCGAGGAGGCCTGGGGAGGAGGCTGAGACTGGAGGACACCCAGCAATCAAAACAGGGCTGGGAGGGCTGGACACGGTGGCTCACACCTATAATTCCAGCACTTTGGGAAGCCGAGGTGGGTGGATCACCTGAGGTCAGGAGTTCGAGACCAGCCTGGCCAACATGGCAAAACCCCATCTCTACAAAAAATAAAAAAATTAGCTGGGCGTCATGGGCACCTGTAGTCCCAGTTACTTGGGAGGCTGAGGTAGGAGAATCATTTGAACCCGGGGGGCGGAGGTTGCAGTGAGCTGAGATGGCACCACTGCATTCCAGCCTGGGCAACAGAGCAAGGATCTATCTCAAAAAACAAACAAACAAACAAACAAACAAAACACAGGCTGGGGAAAGGCTGCTGTTATGGCGAATAAACTACTGGCTCAAGTCAGGCAGAACCACCAGAGTGCCACAGAGGGGCATCCGGCAGGGGGCGTCATCCCCAGGGCACAGATGGGAGGAACCTTTGCTTAAATAACTCAGGAAGTGGGATTCGAGATGGGCTTCCATGAGCAAAGAGAACTCTGGTTTGCTATGACAAACCAGAGCCTATGACACCCTCCTGAGCCACACACACACCTGGACACACCTGCCTTGCATCATATACAGCCCCTCTGTCACCACAGCCTTCAGGGAGACACTGACGCTGCTGGCTTCATGAAGGGCCGATGCAGCTCACAGAGGGGCAGCACAAAGGGCCTTGCCAGGCTCAAACCCAGGGTTATTTTCAGTCTGTGAGTTGGGACCCATTAGAACGTGGAGGTGCCAGATAGTGAATATTTGAGGCTCTGCAGGTCACACTGTCTCTGTTACAAGTACTCAACTCTGCTGGTATAGATTGTGAGCACCCACAGACACCACATCAATGTATGGCCATGGCTGGGTTCTAATAAACCTTTACAAAAAGAGGCAGCTGGCCCGTGGGCCATAATTTGGTGACCCCTTGTCAGAGAGTTATGAAGCAGTAGGAATAACCAATAATTTTTAAATAAAACAGAACAGAAAATAGTAGGCATTACATCTGGTAAACAACAGATGGCAATAGTAAGGGCAAGAGTGGTTTTGCGAAACTTTTGTTTCAGCTTATTTGCATATAATTTATACATACTTCTAATACTGAGTTGCAATATAAAACGTTTTTAATTCTGTGAAATTCAATCAAAAAATTTGAAAGCCGCTACTGTGGTCCAGTCCCTTCTCTTACAGATGTGGAAACGGAGACCTAGCGAGGTGAAGGACTTGGCCAAGTTCACCCGGCTTGCTGGTGGCACAGCTGGGATTCAAAGCCACATGTTCGGGCTGTCATCTGAAAGATCCTCCTGCCATTTCCACATCCTCCTGCCTCATATAGGGACTGAGCCCAAATCCTGGAACCCATTTCTCTCTGCTCCTGGTTCCCCGATCCTCCCAGGTAGCACCTGCAGAGGATGCCAGCAGAGGATGCAGGAGTCAGAGCTAGACGAGCTGCTGCCCCCAGAGGTGGGCCAGGCTCTGGACCATGACACCATGCCTGAGAACAGCCTGTGGTGGAGAACAGCCACAGGGTGACCGGCACTGAGGCATGGCACCACCAGCAGGAAACAGGACATGGCTGGGGAAGGTGGAGCTGACCAGACAGGGTGGAGCTCTGCATAAAGAGGGTAGAAGGACACAGATTCTAGTGGAGACAGAGTGCAGGGTGGACAGCAGGAGAGGAGGAGCCAGATGAAAAGGCAAAGATGAAGGAAAAGAGGAGCAGATGGAGAGATGAGTTTCAGCATTCTAAGCAAGGCACCCGGGCTAGTCCCCGCAAGCCCGCCCGCAGCCCCCGCCCGCAGCCCCCACCCGCCTCCTTCCCACAAAGAGACTAAACAACTAGCTCTGGCCCAAGGGAGAAAGTTTACTCACAGGGGGCATAAAACATGATGAGGAGCGGTTTCTCTTCCTTCTTCAGGAGCCGTCTGAAGTCCTGAGGCACAAAAAGAGAATACCAGCAGCTCACACACAACACAATAACAGGATGAGACCCCCTCCCTGACCCTTCTGCACACAGTGGGGTGAAGGGTAGGGATGGGGAGGGGAGCGGGAATGAGCACTTCAGAAAGTACACGCTGGCAGCTGATTTGCAGGTGGGGGCAGAGCCGCGGCAGGTCAGGAGCTGGAAGAACCACAGAGATGATCTATTTGAGACCACCATCACCCTCGTGTATTACAGATGGGAAAACTGAGGCCTCAAGCTAACAAATGGCTTTGGCCACCTGGTGAGAGGGAGTCGTGAGGTCCAGGCTGCTGGCTTTCCTTTCAGTTCCACCTGAACAGTTCAAAGATGGCAAAGAGCGGCTTTTGTCCCATGGGGTTGTTGAATAGGCTGCCCCTTCCTGTGACTTACACAGCGGTTTTGTTGTGGTGCGGATGGCTGTTTTCATGTGTGCCCGACTTGGCCAGATGGGGATCCGCTCACTGTGGGAAGAGGAGTTAACCCATACCCACTAATCTCTTGCTAATCTCTTCCCAGGCTCCAGCTCTGCCACCACCATCCTTGTCCCCAGGAGTCCACGGAGCACACAGGGCAGAAGGAGGGGGCCTGCTCCACCCTCCAGGAGGTTACAGGCAAAATGGATTTGTAAAACCCTTAGAACAGTGCCGGGCATGTTATTAAGCAATACATAATGATTTGTTAGATACATACAATAAAGGCAAAAAGACAAACGGCCACACAGTGCTCATGTAAAGACTTGAGTGTGTGAACAGGGTAGACAGACTTTTCTTCCAACGAGAGCCAATGATGGATGGGAAAAAGCAGCTCTACCAAGGACTGCAGTGATGCACGATGATAAGAGCATATTTCGATTCAAGTAAGCTGCTCAACCACATTTTACGGAAGAAAATGAGAGGGTTTTCTCTTTTGAATAATAAGGAAAATGAGAAAATTTCATAATGCAGCTTTCTGGCAGCAAGAAGGCATTAGGTAAATAAATGATGGCACATCCAGCACAATGGGATACTACTGCTTCATTAAAGCTGATAAAGAGGAGTGTTTAATGTCACAATCAGATGTGCACGGTGCACTAAAGCGGGGGGAAGCAAGTTACAAAACAGCATATAAAATGTAATGACATCTTTGTGAGTAAAAACATTATGTACACATTACCTTGAAAGCCTGGAAGACTACAAAAATATCAGCAGGCATCTCTCTCAATGTAAAGGTATGGGGTGATTTATTTTTTTTCTTTATGCTGAAGGTGTATTTTCTAAATTTTCAACAATGTGCATTAACTTAAAATTTTTCAGTTAGATTAAAAAAAGTTTAAATTTTTGTGGATATCCAAAACACTAGAATAATTTCTGGAAAAGTTTACCCTCGTTTCCATAACTAGAGAGAGGGTTAAGGCACTAATTTTCAAACAAATTTTGTTTGCACTAATTTCCAAACAAAATTAGTAACCAAGATATTTAACCCTAACTAGAGGTACAGGATGCAAACGCTTCTAAAATTGTCTTCTGGAATTTCTGGAGATAAAAGCTAGTAAAAGATCCGAGAAGAGATTTTTATTGAGCCTATAGCAATTTGGTTTCATATCCTGAGTAGTAACAGATATTACATTCAAAGATGCTTAATTACCTTCACAAAGTATGAAATTCCAAGCCTACAAATTGAATCAGCAATTCAAACTTGAATTTGGAATTTTTCATTACTTATGTGGACATTCTATTAGCAGACAACCAGCTATACTTCTTATTTCCATAGGAGAGAAAAGAGCACAAAGCGGAATGAGAGGATTCGCTACAGGTGTGAAAGAAATATTTCCGCTTGATATTCCTACAGTTACAGAAGAACAACCTGAGGAAGGTTAGGACGTTGTATCTGGGGGAGGAAGGCACCAGGCAATCACTTTCCAGAGGAACTCTCAACATTCATCCTCACAGGAGCAGCTCTCTGTTTAGGCTGTTGGTATTTCCATGGTTCTAGGCACATGTGCCATTCTCTCCTGGCACTTGCCCCTCTTATTTTTTTTTTTTTTTTGAGAAGAAGTCTCGCCCTGTCACCCAGACTGGAGGCAATGGCATGATCTTGGCTCACTGCAACCTCCGCCTCTCAGATTCAAGCAATTCTCCTGCCTCAGTCTCCCAAGTAGCTGGGATTACAGGCACGTGCCATCACGCCTGGCTAATTTTTTGTATCTTTAGTAGAGACGGAGTTTCACCATGTTGGCCAGGCTGGTCTCGAATTCCTGACCTTGTGATCCACCCTCCTCGGCCTCCCAAAGTGCTGGGATTACAGGCGTGAGCCACTGTGCCCAGCCTTAAAGATGTCTTTTTAAAAAACATGTGGGCCCGGCGTGGTGGCTATCACTATGTTGCCCAAGCTGGTCTTGAACTCCTGGCCTCAAGCAATCTTCCTACCTTAGCCTCCCAAAGTGCTGGTATTACAGGCATGGGCCTCTGTAACTTGCCTATTGACTGTACTCTTAATGCTTGTTGGCGCAAAAGAAAATGATGCCTTTTTTTTAACCTTCTGGAGGAAGATAAAATGTATCATCATTGTAGGCCAACCAAGTGGATCAGTGGTGATTCAAATTAAGGGCTGGGCACAACATTTTCTGGGATACAAAGAGCCAGTATTGTCATCTTGAAGATGTCTTTTTTTTTTTTGTTGAGACAGAGTCTCACTCTGCCACCCAGGCTGGGGTGCAGTAGCATGATCTTGGTTCACTACAGCCTCTGCCTCTGGAGTTCAAGCAATTCTCGTACCTTGGCCTCCCTAGTAGCTGGGATTACAGGCATGCGCCACCACGCTCGGTTAATTTTTGTAATTTAGTAGACGTGGGGTTTCACTATGTTGGTCGGGCTGGTCTTGAACGCCTGACCTCAAGTGATCCACCCGTCTCCACCTCCCAAAGTACTGAGATTACAGGCGTGAGTAAAAAATTAAAAACTAGCCAGGCATGGTGGCATGCGCCTGTAGTCCCACTTACTTAGGAGGCTGAAGCAGGAGGATTGCTTGAGCTCAGGAATTCAAGGTTACAGTGAGCTATGATCACAACACTGTACTCCTCCAACCTGGGTGACAGAGCCAGACCCTGTCTCTAAAAACAACAACAAAAAAGAGTCAACAATTTTAAAGGAAAAGGGAGAGGAGGAAGAGAAAGATGAAAGCTATGTTTTATTTTATCGAGATAGGAATGAACCTTCTCCCTCCATCTACAGAAAGCACTGCTTGACTCACAGACCATCTGGACAATCACAGAGAAATTCTTGCCCATCCTAAGTGAAGGCATCATACAAACACGGATGCACATGGCTAAAGATGCACATTCAGGTCAGGTGGGCAGGCTGTGGACGGAGCGGCAATGTGTGTCACAGCTTTTGCATTCTTTATTTTTTTAGAGATGGGGTCTCACTACGTTGACCAGGCTACCCTTGAACGCCTAGGCTCAAGCGATCCTCCTGCCTCAGCCTCCTGAGTAGCTAGGACCACAAGCACCTGCCACCACAACCGGCCTGTCATAGCTTTTGTTAAATACTTAAGAACTAACAAAGACTATAATCTAGATCTACCCTTCTACCTCCACCCCTGGCCAAATTTGGAAATCAAAGCATAAGAGGGTAAATAATTGGTTGAAAGCTATAGAATGATCCAGAATTATAGAGATCTGCCTCAAGTCTCTGGAAATCTAACCTAAATCTCTAAGGTTATTCTTTAAAAAAAACAAAACAAAACAAAACAAAAAACAAGATGTAAAGCCAATCCTAGCAACATCTGGATTACACAATAGAGAGAGAACATTTAAACCTATATTAATGTATGGAAAATCTAAACGTGTTCAAATACATTAAATAAGGAAGGTGAAGAATGGAGAAAATACTCAGGCAATGTGTGATCGCCACTGGTTACAAGATGGAGCTGGGAAGGGGAGTCAAATATTAGGGTCCTGGCCTAGCTTCACTAGAGGAAAGTACAAGTGATCCTGGAATAGTCCCATTTCTCAGTTCGTTGGGCTCCTTTCCTTGGGAGGCCCTAGTGCTAGGGAAGATTCCAGCACCCATCAGAACTGACAGGAATACATTACCTTTTCACTGTCAAGGTGGACAACATCTTTGGCTCCAGGATCTTCCTCCCACAGTGGGGGCCCTTTTGGATCCTTCAAAAAAGCCACTATGGACTGAGGAAAAAAAGAGAGAAGAGAAAATGCATTTTAGCCCTGAAAAGAGGGAGGTGGGGGAATCAGGAACCTGTCCTGTTTCCCTGCCTGGAGACCTGGGCACACCAGGTGCTGGGTTCAGGACTGCATGTGGCATGAGCTTTGAGGGTGTGTTATTTCCACTGTCCACTGACATCATGGATAAGTGCCCCAAAAATGCACCTCCACCACTCCCACCAGGCTTTTTCAATCACAAGACACCTTGCCCACTCCAGTCAGGTGGTCCATGCCTACTATGCATCTTCATAGACAAAAAAAAGAAAATTTGAGACAATGAGTTGGCGTATTCAAACCAGAGACATACTAGTGCTTCTACTAAATCTCATCTCCTCCAAGAAGTCTTTCTGACTAATGGAATAATGGTCTCAGTCTCGTCCAAAGGAGACATTTCCACATTCCTGCAGCCACTAAAACTGTCATCCCATAAGCAGATCATCATGCCTACTTACGACCTGCTTGGTATTTCATGATCTAAACTGGTTTTGGAGTGGATTAAATCCTGATTATCCTCCACTATATGTGAATAAGTGGGGTCCAGGCTGGGAAGCCCCCAGGGCAGGGTGAGCACCAATGTGGCCTCACCCTTGTGGCTATACTTCTCTTCCTGGGCCCCTCTTCTAGACTGCCTGGATTGAAGATCTGACAAAGTTCTTACAGATAAAGGGCTTTGCTGGCCTTTGTTATGTGTACAATGACTCAAATCTCCACTCCCTTTGGGGAAGACATACAGGGGCAGGGAAGAGGGGCACTGTCCTTCCACCCTCCTCCGTACCCCCCTGCCACTCTCATCGGTTCAGGGCAGAAGCAGCATTCCCTTCCCCCTCAGTTACTCAGAGACGGTGCTCAAAGTCTGTGAAAGCTAGGATCAGGTACCAGACCCCAGTCAGATTCTGTTACTTCTGTCAACTCTGACCACGCTCCAGCGAGCAGATGTTGAACTGAGAGTGTGTGTGTTTGTGTGTGTGTGCGGCCTGAGATGAGAAAGGGAGGTGCCCTTCTATAATAATAAGGGTATGCATTCAGCCCATCCACCGGTCACACACAGAGAGGACCTTAGAAAGGCTTATTATTTCTGGAAACTCTATTTGGAAAGAACTACTACGGGAGAATGGGAGACAGCCAAGACTTCATAGGATTTCATTCAGGTAGTGCTTCCTGCCTGTCCAAGTGGAGCTGTGAAAAGCCTCCTGGCAAGAGAACAGCCATTTCTGCCACAGCAAAAGGCGGATCCACCCTTTCTCGGTCCCTTGTCAAAGCTTTGCCATGACAACCTAAGGAACTATGGAATTGGCAGGATCTTCCCGACACCCGCACTCACCCACAGCTGCAGAGGCACCTGTCCACGAGGCCATGTGAGAAAGATGCTGGTAGGCGCCCACCTGCCTGGGGTTCCAGAAATACCCGGTGCAGGGTTCTTAATCTAGGGTGCACGAGGGACTTCAGGAGTCAGTGAAACCCCAGGCTCATGTGAAAACATTGACTTTGACTGTATGCACACAAACTGTTTCAGGGAGGTCTGTGTTCAGCAGGTGCTCAGTGGGATCAGGACCCCAGAACAAGTTAAGAACTGCTGCTCTGGGGGGCTCCTGGCCCCACGCCCAGCTCCCCCCCCATCTCCACCTCAGCCTGAGGTCCCATCCAGTCTGAGGGTGGCCAAGAAGAAAAGACAGCAGTGGATGGAAAAAGGAGAGAAATGACCTTTTAATGTGACAACTGACATGTCCGTACACACAACCTTGCTTTTCAGGTGAGGATTATTCTCATTTAACTGAAGCTGAATAACCCCACCCATAGGTTCTCTCCGAGTTGATCTAACTGGACAAGACCTCATGGGGAAAGTCTGTGGGGAGCAGTACCTGGAAGCCCACCCTCGACGGTCCTATTCTGGGTGCTCTGAGTCCCAGGCACCGCCTGACACTGCATCTGGCCTTCAGGACACCTTCCCGGCTGTGATCCTGGCTCACAGCTACTGGGCCCTGAGGTCATCAGTGAGTCATCTGAATGCAGACTGCCAGGCACCTCTGGCCCTCACCACTTCTACATTAAGGATTTGGGGAGTATGTGTGAACAAGGAAAGGGCAGCTTGAAGGGGATGTTCCCCGCTTTGAGTTTCCTATTCTTTGCCAATGGGGAGATAAGTTCTCACTTATCTGGCCTGTGACCTCTCTAGATGCTGTGGCACAGCATCTGTGACCAGGCTTCTGCCCAACAAAAACCACAGCCAGAATATGGGCCTGCAGGCCATGGGCCCCTCCTATTGGGGGCTCCTCCGTCTCTCTGGAGTCAGGGTCCCAGGAAAGTTAATCAGTGACTAAGGTGGGCTCTGATCTCAGCTGTCTCAAGCTGAAAAAGCAGAAGCCATCAGCAGTCAGGGAACCATCCTGTCCCCTTCCCTCTGCCCTGGAGAACTCCAGGGACTCTGCCCCAGTCCTGCTGGGGGTGCTGGGACTAAGAGTGCCATCTGAAACTGAAGACTCTGGCCCCGTACAATGCTCAGCCACTTCTTCACCTTGTTGATGCCAAAATCACGGGAAGGTCAAGAGAACGCCGACCTCACACACCTGATCTTTGTAAGAGGTGGGGCGAAGCCAGGATTCTGCCTCTCCCACCCAGACACCCGGTGGCATGCTGGGGTCGCCTGGGCTCCTTGCTGCTTCTCTGCTACCACAGTTCTGAGTAGCTGCTCAGAACTCCCTGCTCCATAAGCCTAAGATGGCTTCCTCAGAGGTCTCAGTTAAACATAAAATATACACAGCCTCCAATAATAAAACAAAACCCTAGCCCTCTCTCCATCATTGCATAAGTGCTTCCCCCATCCCACCCAGTTAAATCTTGTTCCTGGGGAACGTGTGTTCTCTCCAATAACTTCGGTTGACGTCTTAACACAGAATAAGAAGGGCTGAGCAACTGTAGTTGGAAGAACTTTCTAAGTGTCTAAGTAGGTGTTAAGGTGATGAGTAATCAGGCTGAGTCCCTATATAAGGTGAACGCTGTAGCAACTTAAAAAAAGAATGAGTGTTAGTGGATAAGCAAGAAATGACCTGGAGAGATGGTGGGGAGAGACAGAGGGAGAAGGAAGGGCAGAGGGAGAGGGTCTCTGACAGCTGCACAGACAGATGGACAGATAGGAAAAAAATGGAAGAGACACAGATGGAGAAAGAGGGGCAGATGAAGAGACAGGAGCACAGGGTCCAACCCAGTGTGGGAAACAGGAGGGTTAGGAAGTGAGTTCAAACATGTCAGGACCAGAAGAAATATATGGCTTCAGCCAGCACAGGACCAGAAAGCAGAAGACAGGTTGGAGGAAGGGAATCCTAACCCTGAAGGAGGAGAGTTGCAGTTCAGGAGGACTAAGGGCTGGGGCAGCTGCTTTGTGGTTACAAAGCATGTATAGATTACAGGATTTTATATTTCTTTCCATTTATGGTTTTTCATCTACTTCTAAACTGGATTGATAGCAGAGAACTCTTCAATGATACCCATATCTCATCTGGAACAAGCTGCATCAGGCCAAAGGTGCCAAGCTGCCCATGTGTGACACCCTGTGCTAACCTGGGCACCGTACGTCCCACCCAGCCTGAGGGTGGCCACTACCGCAGAGATGAGGGGAGGACTTTGAAGCTACAGCAAAAGGAGGCCCAGGCCTTTGGCAGAGAGAGAGGTGACATCATCTGCCTCACTGGACAACTGCTGATACATTCACAAACCCATCTCCAAAGCTGGGTTAATCTGTTGTGTTAAGAGCTACAAACTTTTCCAGATATTCTGCTGACATATGCTCTAGAGATAAGAATCTCTCAGGTCATTCAGAAGAGCTATTTGTGCAATCTGCCCTTTCTTTTCTCAGAGAGAAAACCTGCCAGACTTTGGGCGTCCATTCAGACTCCACCTCTGCTGAGAATGAGGGAGGTAAATTTACCTTAAATGTCACAGCTCGGTTATATTCAGTATGAAATGCACCATCCCTGTCAAATGAGGAGAAAAATGTGTTAACTTTAAGAATGGTTGTGAAGATACATACCTTTGGTTTCCTGCAGCATCTTAATAAGGTTCAGCTTTTGAATGCAGTTCAGGATTTTATTTTTTTAAAGAAACAATTGTAAACACAGGAAGAAAACCATTCTGAAATAAAATTAATCTAACTAAAAATTGCTGTTCACTGGAAATACCAATGAAAACGTTCGGCACTTACTTGGAAATTGGAAATGCCCATGTGTACTTACTGGTAATGGAATAATTCGACCTTTTTGTCCTTCGGGCTCAGGTCAACTTTCATCTTCTTGCACAATTTCCTACTCTCTGCATCACTGAAAGACACAAATGTCGGGAACCATTTATCACCTGAAGTCCTCATAAAGGTGTTGACAGCAAAATCTGCTGGTGTCCTAAGAAATAAGCCAGGTAACTTGGAATTCCCAATAGCAGATGAGGGCCTTACTACAGATGGGCTGTGAGAACTGGAGGGAGGAGACTAACTAGGAGGCTAAGGGCTGATCAAGAAAGACAGAGGCTGGCTGCGGGGGCTCATGCCTATAATCCCAGCACTTTGTGAGGCTGAGGCAGGTGGATCACCTGAGGTCAGGAGTTCGAGACCAGACTGGCCATCATGGTGAAACCCCGTCTCTACTAAAAACACAAAAATTAGCCAGGCGTGGTGGTGCATGCCTGTAACCCCAGCTACTCGGAAGGCTGAGGCAGGAGAATCGCTTAAACCCAGGAGGTAGAGGTTGCAGTGAGCCAAAATTGTGCCACTGCACTCCAGTCTGGATGACAAAGAGAGAATCCACCTCAAAAAAAAAAAAAAAAAAAAAGAAAAGAAAAAAAGAGACAAGCAGACAGGAGCAGGTGTGTCACGACTTGTGGGTGGCAACACAGACAGACAGAGGGAGAAGGACATTTAGTAGAGATCGGGTTTTGCTATGTTAGCTGGACTGGTCTCCCTGCCCCCTTCCTCCCTCAGGCCCAGACAAAGACAGGTCCAGACAAAGGAGGTGCCCCAGCAGCTTAGGGGGTGGATAGTCCATGGTAACAAGAAAATAAACTCCAAACCTGGCCACTCTTTAGATTTACCAGGCAAGTTTTTAAAAAGATCGATGCCCTGGCCTTCTCCTGATTATTAATTTGGAATCACTGTCGGGGGTGGGACAAGCAAGATTTTTGTTTTTAGAGCTCTGACATAGGCTACCTGCTATGCACTATGTGACCAAGGTAAGAGGAAAACATGCTACCATGTTGAAGAAGTTATGAAATCTGGCCAGGTATTGACAAAAGACAAAAGGAGAAAGGACCAGGCTGTGGTTAAAGGAGCCCCTCCCTTGGCATCTGGGATATTACACTCTCTTCCAGTAAGAAATGCCTGTCAGGTACCATTCCCCGTTTACAAAGCACTCGTGCACAACCTCATTTCATCTTAGTGCCCTGCCTGTTAGAACAATGGGTTTCAATAGTGGTCCCTGAACCAGCAGCACCAGCATCATCCAGGAACCTGTTAGAAATGCAAATTATCAGCCCCATCCCAGACCTACTAAATCAGAAACCCTGGGGATACCTGAGCAATTGCATTTGAAGAACCTTCTAGGTGATTCTGATGTGTGCTCAAGTTTGGCAACCACTCATTGCATTAGACTAGCTCCTTCACTGGCTCATGTTCTTCTCCCCTACCTCCACGAGGTTTGGCTCCCCTGTGCCCTACACCAGCCCCTTAGAGACCTGACCTGCTCCCACAGCTTCCCCGTCCTGTCTGCACTCAGCCAGTCAGAGAATTCTGCTTGTTACTTGGGGGTCATCTCCCCAGCCCTGAAAAGACTCAGTGAGGGCATCTCGGCTACCCAATGCCCACTGGTCACCATTGACTACACAACTGGAGTCATCTTTTGGGGAACTTTGTTGGGACAGGTACGACAGCCACCTGAGGCAAGGCACTGTATCCCCCTGTTGCTTACATGCCTCACCTCCACCAACAGCCATTAGCTTCACACAGCTGTGCACCAGCCCAGAACAGATGGGCTAATTAAACCACTCAGCTCAATTCTAAAAGCAACACTCATCAGTGGACATGTAAAAAACACAGGACCTCATTTTAAGTGTAAAGATGCAATTTGCAACTCAAGAAGCATGTCTTACTGGAGAGGTGTGTGATGGTCAGAGAGGAGGAGTGCCTCCCTGCTCCCTTCCTCCCTCAGGCCCAGGGGTTTCCTCCCTACTAGTCCCAGCTGTCTAGCCATCGCTGCAGCCACTGTAGCTTCCAGCCCTGGGCCTGGCAAACAGTGGGGACTCATGAAATGCATGAAGAATCCAGAGAGGAACTGCAATAGTTCCTCCCCCAAGGTGGCAAGGACATTTTAGGATAGAGTCCAGAGAGAAGCGGCAAGCTGGGGGTGGGCTCTCCAAATACAGAGGGCAGCCCAGGGCATCCGCTGAAAACTTTCTTATCCTAAAGCCCTCTGAGGTCCACATATGCCTCTTCTGACCACTGCTATTACAGTTCAGGTGTGCCCTGTCCCGCAGGGACTCTGTGGTGAAGCTGCACTGACAGGTGGTGGGTCTGTTTGAGAACAACTGCGAATGAGGTGCCCCTTCCCCGCTTGAGTTAATTCCCTGGGACAGAGGGCTCGACTCGGGATGTTTACAACCACTCACTTGGCACCTTCCTCATTGGCCTTTGTTCTGCTGTGCTCCACTGTTTCTGTGACCACCTACCGTCCACCCAAATGCAACAACAAACAACAGCTGGGGCAGGAGCCAAGGCTGGGATGGGATGTGTGCGGCCTCCCTCAGCCCCATCAGCCCCATCCTGGCACCCGTGGCATGCGAAGGGCTGGCTCATCGCCTCTCCGTTCACACTGCAGTGCCTGCCTGGGTGGCTCAGACGCTGCAAGGCAGCAACTGGAGGGGAGAATCCCCACCCCATGTCCCTCTCTCTTCCATCAAGCCTGGCTGGCAGCCTCTGCCTGTGACTATCACAAAGCAGAGGGAGGAAACAGGGGCTTGGTTCATTCCCATGCCAATCCCGGTCCACTCTGTGGGAAACCCTTCCACGAAACAGTCCCATGACGGCAGCCTTAGGTTCCCTGAGGGCCCAGGCAAGTCTTAGGACTAAGAATCCAAATCAACTAAGTTGGCTGGTAGAGCTGGGGCCACAGAGGCACCCCTGCTTATTCTTCAGCTTGGCCTCCAAGGTTCAGCCCAGTGCACAGCCTCCTGCCCTCACTCCACCTAAGCAAGTGCCCCACGAGCCCTCACTGCAGACTCTGTGCCACCTTCTTTGTTAGGTTTTGTAACACTCCTAAGGATTCTCTCCTCTCCCCATCCCCTGCATTCTCTCTCTCCCTGAGAGGTGAGTGGGGAGGAGGCTTCCTGTCCCGTCTGATCACACTTCCGGCACAGACCCGAGGACCACTGGATCCAGCACTCCTAATCTCCCCTCCCCTGTTGTCTTCCTCTCCACGGCGCTTGTCAACATCTGACCAACTTGTCCACTGCCTGCCCCATCAGAAACATGTGCTCCGTGAAGCCAAGGGCTTGGTTTTGTGCACAGCTATCTCCCCAGTGGCACAACAGCAGCTGACACATAGTAGGCACTCTATAAATCACCTGACTGAATGGCTGAAATGAATGATATTATCTTACCGCCGCTGGGATAAGGCTCTGCGTTTCTGGCTTTCTGGGATCTCTGGGCTCCGTCTACTGAGCTCCAGGAATCCTGCCAGATGACAATTCCTGACAATGTTCTCTCAGCACTGCTCCCCTCCTTCCCACAGTTCTGTCTCTCAGAGTGTATAAGTGTGAGTAGTGTGTGTGTGCGCAAGCATGTGTGCACCCACTAATTGTGCAGTGCAGACAATAAATACCAGAAGAGTTCAAGTAGGGGAGAAAATTACCTAAGCTCAGAGACTTAAAAGGATCTGAGTTGAGAGATTAAGTACAATTAATTGATCTACTGCCTACCTCCCTCCCCCAGCCAGTGACTGAGGCTCTAGGGGAGAAAGGAGACAAAGTAGTGAGCAGGAAAACGAGATGCTTTGCTAGAATTGAGGGGATGGAGAACGCCACCATGGGTCATGGAGAAGGGGCTGGCAGTGCAAAGACCCTCACCCGCCACTCCCCTGGCCCCTGTCCTGCAAGAACCAGCCATCCCTCTGCCCATTTACTCACCACTGTTCCAAGGAATGAGGCGCCAAGGCCACTGATCTGCTCCATCCTATCCTACCCCACTTCACTTGGTTCTCTTCCACGGATAATGTGGAAGAAAAGACTGCAGAGGCCTATACACACTTCCCTCCCCACCCCACACCCCCACACCCAGACAGACACATGGGCATGGGTGTTTTCATCTGAATCTGCCATGGGACAGCTGGCTGCCAGTCGGGAGTGGCTGCTGCAGGTACACAGTGCTGTGTTTATTGGATTTTCCTGTGCAGTAATTACTATCCAAGAGACTGGAGACACACACTCTGGGGAGTCAGGCCCAGGGATCAAAGTGGGGGTGAGAGCAGGAAGAAAGAGAAAAAACAAGGTCTGGGAGACGGCGGGGTCAGGGGGTGGGGGTCTGAGGTCTTTCACGAGTCCAGCCTAAGTACCACAGCCCACTAGAATGACAGTTTCAACATCTGGCTCTGCCATTAGCGACCTCTGGCAGGACCCTTAGTTTCCTGAGCTGCAAAATGCCAGAGTTATCCACATAAACTGAATGGAGCTTGATTTCTCTACGGGGTCAAGTCAGACTAAATAAAGCATTGAGACAGGTTGCCTTATATCCTGACACATGAACCACGAGCCAGAACCTGGGGCGAAAAATGGAGACAAAACAACCTCTGAACCCCTGTCATCTCTCTCCTCGCCTCCCAACTGGATCCTCAGTCAGCCACAGTTGGGGTTCTCACGTCCACGGCAGACCATGTTCAGCCCCTCCTGGTGGGGTAGAAACAAGACCACACTGAAGATAAGAAGGAAGGCTTCTGCCTGTCTTAACATTAACTTTGTGCCCACGGCTACCCCAGCCTCTCTAGCTCCATTTCCCCATCAAAGAAAGGATAACTCTCTTCCTCCCACCGGTCCCGGTCTAACATGGCAGGATTCTGGCCAGGTGGACCCGTGATCCCCTGGGGACAGGTAGGAGAATAAAGGTAGAAAGTGTCCTCACTTCAAGGACATGAAGAAAAGGGGGGCGAGTGCTGAGCAAGAAATACTGAGTGACTGCCTGAAGCCAAGTACCGAGGATGACGTGAAAGAATGTGGCTGGAGGATACAAGGCAGGAGGCAATGAGACAGAAGTCCTGGAAGAGCTGAACCTTGACCTTGGACAGGC